CAGTCTGTGGTATTTATACTGTGTTCTGTGTCCTGTTTATAAGCGCAGGACCGACTTCTACCGGCAGAATGCATTTGTCTTATTTATGAATTATTTGCGTCTGTATGTTTTGAAATTCTGATTGTGACGTCATTATTAAATAACCCAGAATATGATTCTGGTTTCTCTTGAACACTGGAATAAATCTATTAGGCTCATTGTTTCGGGGGAAATTGAAATTATATAACTCGTCAAACCAGACACTCAGGAATGATCAGCCTCATGTGACTGAATGGAAATGACGATAAATGATTTAAAAAGTGTTTTGTCTCTCCCACTCTCTCTGACTTTAATTGTATCCATCATACAAGTTATTGAGGGAAATAACAGATCATGAAAAGACAAATCTTTCTAACAAATGAAGAAAGTTGTTTGTGGTCCTTTTGTTTTTCAGTCTACAATGAACATATTTAAACCAGATGGTGAATCAGAAAACTAATCAAATATAAAACTAGAGTTTAATCTGTGATCTGTGTTCACTCTGGTACAACACTCCAGTGACATTGAAAAAAATCAGATCAGTCCGATTGGCTGCAGCATCCAATAAAATAACTGATGAACAATGAGGGGGCGTGTCAAGCGGTAAAACACTTCCTGGAGGGCTGCTCTCATGCGTCCTCGATCTTTGCTCCTCAGAGCAGAAATAAGAGCTTTGGGACGGCTGTCAATATGGCGATGCAGAACAACTTGCGGTTCAAGCGAGAAGCGAAGATATGACAAATAAGAGACTTGGGATGTACCCCATCTTTGAGCAGAGACAGGAGTTGCAAGCTCCTCTTCATCCACAACCACATGACAGATATTCCATACTTAGGTCACATGATGACACATGAGCCAACTCGAGGTCCAGGAAAAAGCTCCAGGAAAAGAAAAAAATAATTTACTTCCATCATCACATAGCGTGTGCTGTCTAAGTGTATCGGTAGGATGGCACTGAATCCAAGTTGATCAGAAAATGAATTAGTGAGCCAGTAGACGGCCTGGCAGCATGAAGGGAATGGCTGCTATGTGATGTCAATCAGAGATGATGAGGGAGGTCCAGAGAAATGAACCAGCTGTCACTCGGCTGAGACAGCGGCAACAAACAAAGGACCATGGGAAATTAAGGTCTCCAACAACCACCACTTTTAACATTCTCTGCCGGTCCCACCTTTGAAGAAGACAACAGATTTTTTACACGAGTAAGATGTAATTGGTTTTTCTGTGATGTTCAAGCTAAGAATGACCAGTCTCCAAAGCTGGAGATTCACGGCTGATGCCTAGCGGCTCCGTCTTTACAGGCCGCTTTAGCCTGAATGTCCCAATCTTTCTTCAGCTGCAGAGAGGCATTGGGCGTGTAGCACTGAATAGAACAGGACCATATATCAGTAACATTTATTCAGCAAAAAGCCACTTAATACATGTTATAACAAGATTAAGTCACATATAAAGTTCTTCAGCTTGTCCTCATAGAAGAACCCTTATTAGTTCATGGTAAAACCTTTTATAAAGGTTCCACATGGAACCCTTTCAGAGGATTCTACCTTGAACCGTGCTTAAAGGGTTAACTGGCTGGACTGTTAAAACCGTGACGTAAATTGTGGCACTTTTAGATCTGGAGAACATTTATGGATTTAACAAACTAGCAGCCGGTCAGGGTCTCGTCTTGCTAGTGGTAATGCCATGAACATTTTGTACCAGTGGAGTATATTTATTTGAGTCAGTGGTCTTTGCCAGCCATTTTTATAGTCAGTGTTTCTACTGTTAGGTGTCCATACAACCCGTTCTCACTCCCAATTCATCAAATGCAGACTCACCGTCGGCTAGCGTCTGTATGAGAGGTGACCATTAGTGGACTGTGGAGGAGTGTGGTAGAGACGCCGTATACGACTCCGGTAGCCCCGCTTTAAAGCATATTCTGCTTTATGGTCTATTTGACTCTAAATGGACCATAATTTACTAAATGAACATCATGCTGTATTGAAGAAGACTAGAGACTGAGGCCATAAACTAATAGATCAAGTGAGAAGTAGAGTCATTTTCTCATAGACTTCTAAACAAACAGACTTGTTATTGCAACCAGAGTCGACCCCCTTGCTGGGTCACTAGAAAGATTGCAAGTTTAAGAAATGTCCACATTGCCTTCACTTTTCCAACTGGCGAGCCAATCAGAGCAGCCCAGGGTTTTTTTTCGGGAAAGGTGCTTAAAGAGACAGGCGCTAAAACAAAGCATTTCATACAGAGACTGAATTCAGGTATATTCAGACAGACAGTATGAGAAAAGTGATGTGTTTTGTGAATATTAAAGCACGTAAACATGTTCTAGTAGGCACCCAAAATACATATTCTTTTAACCTGAAAATGAGCATGATATGTCCCCTTTAACACAGACAGACAGTAGAAAGAAAACAGATGGATACCAAAGTAGAAAGAGGAGCAAAAACAGAGGCAGAGAAGCATAACAGACATCAATACTTCACTAAGGCCATCTCTGGTCCAAGGACTAAGATTGATGGCACTCATTACAGGAGAGAGGGAGAGGAAGGCAGAAAGAGAAGAAGAAAGAGAGGAAAAACAAACAGAATTCCAGACTGAGAGGAGCTGGAGGGTCACAGAGAGAGAACATCACAGGACCTCGAGTTGTACAAATTGGCATGAGGATCGGTGTTCGAAGTGGGCCGGCACTCGCTTGTATACAGCTCCATCACTCTTACATTTTACTCTTTACTCTGAGAGATCCACAATAAGAACTACAATACCCAGGGTGCACTACGTGATGCAACTTTGCTCACTCCGCTTCCGCTTTTGTCTGCCCAATTTTATCTGTTGGCAAGAGCATCCACAGTTTGTTATGTTACGTGAGTAACGCTACAATGATGTTAGCCTGGCTCAAAAGGGGCAACACAAAGAGTCAGACAATAACACAACAGCCATGTGAGTCAAATCTAGAACAACCAGACAAGGGAACGCATTGCCAGCAACGCAAAGCCTGTTGATGCAGCATACAACTGCAAGTACATACTACTACAGCCAGCTATGACGTTAACTATCAGTCAAGATAAACTGCCCGACTGTTGGTAAAAGGAGCAAATTATGTTATTTTTTGTGCACAGAACATTTTGTACTTTAGAAGCTCATTGTCCAAGAGAAAACGCTTGGGGGCAAAGTGTTTAGCACGTCGCTGGCTGCTCAGAAAGAGTAAGGACTGAGAATGTCAACTGAGTGGAGTGTTTAATATCTGCTTTTGGACAAACTGACAAAGCTAAAACAACAACAACAAGAACAACAACATCAGTTGTATAGGCAATCACAATCAAGGAACACAGAGGTGTCACTTAAACGCAGCGTAGATTGGAAAGAGGGCATCGCAAAATGGAACAATTTAAAAATGCAAGGGGCTGAATACAATACAAGCTGGTGAGTGTTGCAAGCAGCCAATAAAATATGTAGGCGTGGCCATCCATTATCAGATATGACAACTGATGTAAGCATACAAGAATTAAATGTGGGCTTTGCACTCCGCCAAGATCGATCTCTCTCTCTCTATATATATATATATATATATATATATATCATTTTACAATTTGGTTTGTATATAACATAAATATACCAAATTGCAGCAAAGATTAAGAAAAAAATGGTCAAAAACCAAATGAACTCGCTGTTGTATGGTTCTACCAACTGGGGAAGTTGAGGTTTACTTCCATGTCCCTCCAAAATGTCATCACTTCATAATTTGACATTTGAGTGAATCACACATAATCATCATATTTAGCATAGAAATTCTTGAGTTATGGCCAAAAAATGGGTTTTGTGAGGCCACAGTGACCTTTGACCACCATAAACTAATCAGTTCTTTAGTCTAGGTGGATTTTGTGCCAAATTTGAAGACATTCCTTCCAGGTGTTCCTGAGATAACACGTTCCCGAGATTGGGACGCACGAGAGGTCACAGTGACCTCATGAACGAGAGATCTCCTTCATGACAATGGTACGGACGGACGACCTGAAACCACAGCCGCTGGTAAAAAAATTAAAACTAAAACTATGTGTGCTGATTGACCAATGTACCACAATCAGCTGCAACTTTGTGCTGGAGATGTGTTTGAGGGCAGCTATTACCAGCGCTGAGCCATGATGCCAGATAATATATTTTTTGGGCTGCTCGAGTTGGACAGAAAATGATATCACAAAGACAGTGCTGGCATGTCTTAATAAACATGGGTTAGACGACCACTTTTTTGGGGGAGTGTTGTGTGTCCTTTGCCTCTGCTGGAGCATCAGCAATGCTTGACAGAGGAGCATGGGTTGCTACACAGCATTGTGCAAAGTACCCACATCTGTTCGTCTGGCACTTTTGAAATCATTGGCTTGATTTGCCACTCGACGACACTGGACCTCATCATTTCAAGATTTTCTTTGATAAATTGAACACTTTGCACCATGCCTCGCCCTTCAGACCAGAGAGAACTGGTTCGGTGTGCACACAGTGATGGGCAGCATCTTCTTTTTACAGTATGTGTTCTGTCATGTGCTGGTGGCTTCAAGTGAAAGAAGTGTTGAAGCTGTTTGTGAGACCTATATGAAATGCACGCTTACTGGTACAACCAGCCATTTACCTGATATCAGATCCTGTGGCAATATGAAAATGCTAGATTACTCAAAAGATTAAATCAAATATCATATCACGTTTATGTTTAGAAAGCTCTGATGGTTGGGTGCAATATTTTGTATGTGAGGGTTTACACAATAAGCATTTTGATAAATGCGCTTGAGAGTAATGCAAACAATTAGAAGAGCAATGTAATTAACTTTGATCGCCGAAGCAAAGTCAATGCATCGTCAAGCAAGAAGAACAGCATATAGAACTGTGGATTTAAAAAAATTGCACAGCTAGTAGAATTATGTTGACACCGTATTTTGCCATTTAAATTTGCATAATAATCAAGGAGATGTATGAAGCAGTAATGTGGTTTGGATTACCTCAGAAGGGTCCTTGTGTGTTTGGGTGGAAGAAGGCCAGGTAGAGGAGGAGAGAGGTGTTTGTGCACCATTATTCTTCTCAGAAAGAGATCTGGACCATCCAGTGGAACTATCTGTAGAGAAATATCAATAGCATCACCATCAAAACAATTAATACAAAGGTTTTTTTCAAATCTTCTCCTCTTGGCAACAAGGCAGCAGCAGGATAGTAAAGCTAAGACTTGGATTCACAAATTAGAATGCATTCCATTTCTCTCATAACCGGTTGTCTAACCACTCACTCAACGGCAGACACACGTATTGGTGATTATGCTATTCTTGGAGTCTTACTAGTGGTGAGGACAAAATGTAGACTGTGGCATTGGGTCATTAAAAGGGTTTATTACCTCGGGTGGACTGAAAGTGCAAATTTGATGTTTTGGTCTGGATAAAAGCAAATGTGTTCAAGGTGCAGAAGGTTCACCTTCTGGAGAGCAGGAATACACAAAGTACATTTTTACAGCTGCCCTTTGCTTTCAGGCCGTGTTTACACGTTCCACGTCTTTACAATGCGACTTTTGTGATCGGAACTAAGCTGTCCTCATTGCAACCCGCCTGATCGGATAGTGATTGGATATATTTTGTGGTCAAAGGAGTGGCTGGATAAACATTTATTTTCCTATAAATTCTTTGTTATTTTTACTGCTTACTAGTCCTCCCTGTGGTATTAGTAGTCCTGTTGCAATTGAAGAATAGCAGCTAAAGCTCAGCTAATTATGTGATAAACTCATTTTCCTATAAATTTTTCCCAATAAAAGTCAGAAGCTATTTTATCATTTAAAAGCTTTTATTTTGAAGCAGCCCAATCAGGAAATGTTGGGTTTTGATTCAGCAGTAACTTAACAGGGCTCACAGCAGGTCTCAGCTGTGCTCAAAACCATTTTCCCTCTTTTCCCTTTTCTGTCCACTGGAGAGGAACTCTTTTGTGGGAGGACGATGATGGAGACCTACATTTGATACATTTTCCGGATTGTGCCCACATGTTGTCCACACCTCAGTGAGATCCTGACACAATGTGAGCATCTCTGGCTGATCGGATCCCAATGCGAGCAAGATCTGATCTCGGAGCGTATACAGACATGCGTCCTGGCACAATCGGATGACAAAAGTCGCATTGAAGAGACAAGAGTGACCACGGCTTTAAATATTTCTTGTGCACAACAAGTTGTTACCTTATACTGGTGGTACAGATTCATTTGGGGACTCTAGCCCCTATAATTTAATGACCTTCCGAAAAATGTAATAAGGTCTGCAAATGCAACCTGATAAAACTCAATGATTTAGTAAAATGTACTGACTGATATTGAAATAACATTTTTAAGTAATGCTAACTCTGCTTTACCAGCATTTCCCATTGACAGGGATTTTAGTTTAATGCGTCACTACCTGGTAACAACGTACCACTTGCCATCTGTTGTTCAAAGTCTAGAGTTTACATTTCCAAACATAAAGGATATTCAATTATTTTTACATTTTAATTGCATCCATAAGTAACAAAATGACAATATGTATGACTATTTTGCTTATGAGTTTCATACACTTTCAGTAGTAAAACATTTAAAAACAGTAATCCTATCGGATGGGGTACTTATTAAATGTGTGTCTGTGGTCAAATTTGTGTAAGTTTAGGGGTCCTTGACATGAAGTAGTTTGGGAACCACTGGGCTTACATGAGAATAGAATACGTTAATAAAATACGTTTTATACGTTTGATAAAGTTGCACTTTAGATTTCTAGGAAAGAAGAATCTTGTTTTACATTCGTCAAAATGATTAAACCATCATAAGTATTACATTATTATTAAAAATGTTACTCTAATATCAGCCAGGAAATTTGATCACATTATTGGTCAAGTTATTACATTAATGGGTTTTACTACATTTGTATCAGGTTAAGTGCAAATTGTACCACATTTTCAGGAGTTACTACATTTCCAGGAAATTATTAAATTATTGGGTCTTACAGTATCCATAACCATCCACGGCAACGTTTCCGTCAGTCGTTCAAGTAGAGACATCCTGCTTTAACCTAACAGTCGGGTTTGTTGAGCAGAAACCAACTAATATTTCCATCGTTGGGGCAGCCAGGTAGCAATACAAAATCATGTCACGCTGCCTGACATTCAAACGAAGCAAAAATCAAGAAGGTTCTGGTGATAACTGAAGACAAAGCACTTTTTTTTTAGAGCTGGCTATCAAACAGATCATAACCATATGACCTTGGGCTTTCAGCCAAAGTTGGTCATGGCTGCTTGGACTCAAATATACATCACATACTTCAAACACCTATAAAGAATCTGTGAGGTATAACTTTATGTTTTATGGATTCCTTCCAGCCTTTAGTCCATTGACCCAAAACATTTTACTATCATTCACCCTTCCATCAAACATTGACTAATGTGCAACGTGCAGAGAGGCCGTTCCATCTCCACAAAGTACTGCATCCTGCTAACAATAGACCAAAGAAAAAGGAGTGAATGAGACTCATTTGCTCTTGTGGCGGGCTTATGAAGTGAAGCATCACCAGTCAGAGGGTATTTTAAGAAGCCACCTCCAGAGGTGGTTCCCAGATGATGCACTGCATTCTGCATGCATTTACATCTGATTTACCAGCTTTTTTTGTGATTCAGATCACGTATCCAGGTCAAAGACACAAAAAGATTCATCCTTGCCTCCTGATTATTCAAATTTGACCAGCCATCCGTCAACTCACCTGCATGTTCATGGCCCTGACTCTGGCTTTGGATGTGGTTGTGGCCACTTTCTTGCCTTCCGCTGTTGCTGCTGTCTTTGGGACTCTGGCTCTCACGAAAGCCGTGAGTCGGGCTTTGACTGCTGGACCTGAGAACACCCGGCTCCCCCTGGTTCACACTGGAGCTGCAGCGCTGACTCCATGACTTGACTCTTTCTGCGGGAGCCGCCTGATTCAAACCAGCTGAACTGGGGCTGAGGCTGGGACTAGGGGAGTGGTTCTGGTTTTGGTTCTGGTTGAGGGCCTGGACAACATTGTGCTGCAGCATACTGAGGCACTCCCCCAGGCAGCTCAAAGTGGCTGCAGAGGTGGCCTTAAAAAGGAGTAGGTCCTTGATCCATTGAAAGGGGAAAGAGAGAAAGAAAAGAAGGTGAGTAAGAGGAGCAGGGGGAGATGCTTCCAGTTTTACCAAAAGTAACATTTAAGCTTTAGCTTATGTTAAAAAAGCTCAGTGTTGTGGGCCCACGTGTTGCAAATAAAAACACCACAGCTTCAGGCTAGGCTAAGCGTACCATTGAACTCAACTGGCAGTCTTGGACACTCCGAGTTACTCCTTAGCTATTCTTCCACCCAAATGCTGTCCAAGTTCAAGATGTCACAAAAAAATAGAGAGCAGGCAAATGAATGTATCTGAAATAGTGTTTGTACTGATCCCCAAATGCATTCATGCAGCAGAGAGCATGAATTAGTTATCTTGCTTGGAAATTATTCCTTGGAAATTTTGAAATTGCTCATTTTTTCATAAGCCAGGTCATGGCTCTTAAGCAAAGAGGAGCCATTAAAGGAAAACTATCATATATTATAGCATGGGTGATTAATTTTGGGGGTTGCTGATCACCATCTACTGTAGGTAATAGACTGATTATGATTAAGTACCTCATATAACCCCACTTCAAAACACCAATATGATCCCTTTAAGCCACCAGTTATATTGGTTCTAATAATATACTCATCAGAGCTAAAGCTGTCAGATCGGAAAATTTGCTAAAAATAGGGTCAAGAAACATGAGCAGTCATACTGCATTTTACCTCAGAAAACAATGGTGGTTAATCTGGTCTAACTGGTGACTTTTTTATAACCTCTCTAATCGCTGTCTGATCTGTTGGTGCGCACAGAGATTACCACTCTTAAAAATAAAGGCGCTAACTAGAACCATATAGGGCTTTTCGGCTTGTCTCCAGAAGAGAACCCTTTTTGGTTCCTGGTAGACCTTTTATAAAAGTTCCACTCAAAATCTATGTAGAATTCAACATAAAGGGTTATACCTAGAATCATCTGGGAAAGGCTCCACACAGAACCCCCTATAAGAGGTTCTACAGAGAACCCTTCTATGGTCGATGGTTCCTCCTAAAGACCTCTCTGGAGGTTCTATTGACAACCTTTTCACCTTCTAAATGTGCTAACAAGAACCCACTCAGGGGTTGTACCTAGAACCCTTTTATATTGTAAGGGTTTCATCTAGAACCCACCCAGGGTTGCTCATGAGGCTCCTGCTCATGGATGAGAGTACTGTGTTTGTTGACACCCTATCCCCAATGCGGACTTTATAAATTGTCAAATACAAATGCAATCCAGGAGAAAAAACGTTCCCTCGAAAGTTATTGACAACACAGTTTCATTGTATGGTCGGGTCATTTTTAAGAGTGCAGGGTGGGCGTGTTTGTCATTGCTTACTTATCTGGCCTACACAATAAATGGCATGTTACCTCATCCAGAGAAGATAGGGGTCCACCTCGAGGGGGAAGGGACTCTATCGAGTTGACCAGGCTCTTCTGCTGACCTTCAGCCTGGATCGTCACCTGCACACACAGAAACAAATTAATAATATATGAAACTAATGGGAAGAGCTCTTTGTCCAAAACATTGAGTTGTAACCTCTACTGCCTCACAGCAGTGACACAGAGAGGGGCATATATTCTCTCACTGCAGCCATGTCAAACTCTTGCCACTTGCCACAAGATACAGAGTGGATGCTGTGATTGACACCGCATAATTCTGGAGAGACCTTCAGTAAACAGAATCAGTGACGGCCTCTGCAGTTGTCACGTTGCGGTTTAAAGGAGTTTCACACTACCAGCCCTGGTTGTGAAGAGATGGAGATTAAAATACGTGGGCAGTGAGAATTTGAACAGAGAGAGAAAGGTAGTTGAAGGGTGATAAACCAGAGGGACACTGTAGAAAAGAGGACAGTGTGAGAATGTTTGACTTCTTCTGGATAATGAACTAGAACAAAGGAAGAGCGGCGAAGAGGAAAGAGACATGGGATGATGAGGTTTTCTCTCTGATCCCAGGAGGTAATTAGTACTGACACTGCTGCTACAGAGCAGGGCCACTGGGACATCTCAGCTTGTTTAATGAGTGTGTGAGATGAGCTGTGATGAGCACTCGGTCCAACAGTGACTACAGCTATTTCCTCTATCCCTTTCCCAGAAACTGCACACATTAATACCTCTGATTTCCAGTCTTTAGGGCTCAGTCGGACACATACTGTGTATACATGGAAACGCTGCAATCAGTGCAGCAGCAAAGAAATCCACAGCAGGTTCAACTCAGTGTAAAGATCAATTCTGATTGTGTTTTTGTACTGTGAACCAATAACCCAACTGCACTGACTTTGTTGACACCCTAAAATGATTTGAGCTTGTTTTAATGATCACTTTACAGGCTTGTGTGTTTCCCCATTTGTGGTGTGTGCCAATGAAAGACTGTAGATAAGAAGTGGATGTAAATCACCTTTTGGTTTTGTGTACTACTGCTTTGATGTTGCGTCTAGATGGTTACAAAGGATTTGGTAAAACTTGCAAAAACTCTTGCAAGACTCGCTTCGAGGTCAATGCCTCATCTTAACCATCTCGCTATAGTTTCGCAAATTGTGGGTTGCCATCTACACAAGACCATTTTTTGGAGCATGGAGTTTGGCATTTTGGCTGTCGTGACCCAGCAGGGACAGGTACTGTTAGCGACTAACGCTAGCGCTGGGGTTTTTGAACATTAAAGCATTCTAATAGGCACCCAAAACACAAGGATGAACCTGAAAATGAGCATGATACGTCCACTTTAACCCAGACAGACAGTATGAAGAAAACAGATGGGTACCGAAGGACCTATAGAGAAAGAGGAGCAAAAAAAGAGGTAGAGAGGCATAACAGTGACACAGTGCACATTGGTGATAATTTATCATTTCTGCACCCATGTGGCTGAGAGGATCGCTGTGGCATAAGTTCTGTCTCACCATGCTCGGGTCAGGCTAATTTTGGACAATATCCAGCCCATTAGAATGGCAGCGTTCGATTGTCAGTCTGTCAGTTTATCTTTGTTCCGGGGCGAGATATCCGAACAACAACTGCACAGATTCTCCTGTAATTTGGTCTGAATATTTATGGTCATTTGAAAGTCAATCCTCATGATTTTGGGGACCCCTTCCTCTTTCATTTACCATGACCATCAGTCATCAACATTTCCTCTTGTCAATCCTTTTCGTCCATGAGACAATCTAAAAAGCGAACGGTCATCCATGATCCCCAGAGGATGAATATGAATAATTGACTATCCACTTGAAATACAATAGCCACAATGTAATGGAAAGATTGCAATGAAGCTTTGGGAGCACAGACAGTCAATGCTCCCAAGAAGAACCCTTTGCATCTTAGACACTCAATAAGATTTCTGCTAGCACACCGTCAACTTTGCCCACAAGTCATTTTAAAATCTGACATATAGATTGGCATAAAGATTGCTGAACATACATGCCACCATATTCAAGGCTTACCCCTAGACACCACATTCCGAACAAACTCTATTTTGCAAGACGGGCAAGGCTCTTGGAATAGCAAAATATTTTGGTGGGTGGCTTCTTTCAACCAACACTTTAAAATTGTACAACATTGCAATAAATCATAGAAGACGTAAGGGTTAGTTATAGTTAATTTGATAATATATATATTTTTTCCTACTCTCTATCATGCTGCTTGATATGCTTCTACCTCTATGGCTGTGACAATTGGTAATCAGTTTGGGACAATTCACAGCATGCCTTGAGGCTGAATTGCACTATGGTCTACTGAGGCTGCTGTCTGTAAATAACCTGCTGTTCCTGCCTCATTCTGTGATTTCTACCAGTAAGACTGTTGAGTATTGGTTTCAAAATGGAGAGAGAAACCTCTTAAACCTGCCTTGTTTTTATTTTGTCTACTTGTTTACTTTTAGCACTGATTTTGGTCTCTACCGACCCTTGAAGGAAATATCTGTCTCTTTAACTGCTCAATGCTCCACTATATTAACCAGCTAGTGTCTAACTGTTTCTGCCTGCTGTGGCTGAAAGACACACTATGAGCGCTGTGAGAGAGAACCAAAACAGTAAGGGCCGGACAGCCAAACAATGAGCTGAAACGCACTATAAATTTTGGGGGCGACCGTGGCTCACTGGGTTAGGAGGGTTGTCTGGGAGCCGGACACTCTCACACATACACACAACCAGCGCTCAGATCGTGCCTCACCCGCACACGTGCTGCTCTCAGGGGAGGGTGAGTCATCGGCGCTTGCTGATGAAATGGCGAGAGAAGAGCTATTACAAGACATAATGCTATCACAGTTCAAATCATCTATGCACACACACACACATACACACACACACACACACACTGCCTCCAATACAATATACTCAAACTCTTTCTTTGATTATTGTTTGGGTCCATCAGTCATCTCTCTGTAGTGCAGATGAAGTGCAGATACGTAGAAGGGGTTTTAGAGGGGCCTCATCAGTTCACTTGGTGTGTGGTCAGTGATGCTGGACTACACGCAGAATAACCATTCCTTATCTTATATGAGGCTAAAATACACACTACTGTTGGTGTGACATTACTGTGTACACTCACTGCCTTAATGTCTCTTATGTGGGCTACTTGTAATTGTCACAGATAAAAGGGTTCATCTCAAAAGCAAAACAAGGAGTAAACACACCTCACCAGGAGACGAGATGTCTGCTAATGTTCTGTAGTCTATGGATTTTCTATGAGGCTGCGAGGCTCAATTTACACCTTCTATTTTCAGTGATTAAATCCAGATGCAATAAAATATTTTTTGTAATTTTTTAAAACTTTTATATACATGCATATCTGTAAGCCCATTATAAATCTCAATGAATCCGTTTTTGATGTCTTTAGATATACAGTATGTAAATCAGAGGATGGTATGGTAATGTGCCTGAAGCTGTTTGGTAACTGCAACAAAGCCCAGAACAAGAGTATTTACAGTTTATTAGTTAAGTTACAGCAATCCAACATGGATGAGTCACATTAATGAGTGAGAAAACAAGTTTCATAGGATCTCACACCAATCTATCACCCACAAAACCCATCTCTAAAGATAGATTAAGGCTTGCAGTAGTGCTCTTGGCGCAAGGGCCAAAAATGACATTGTCATGTTTTGCCACAAATTTGATTCTTCTCACCGTTGAGGATTTGCAAGTCTGTTCCATTCTGTTCTTTTTGGGAACACCCATTAACTTCTTGCTTCTTCACAGTATATTTATTTCGTACGACCCCTGGTGTTTTTCGGAGAATACTGCGACAGGCAACGGGTGAAGCATAAAAGCCTTTATCCATGCTCTTAGCACGTGCGCCTTCTGTGGAGGCCTGGGCCATGGTGTCCCGCTAGAGCAGAGGTAGCCAACACGGTGCCCGCGGGCACCCTGTCGCCCGCAGGGACCACGTGAGTCGCCCGTAAGGCATGTTCTAAAAATAGCACGAGTCACTATGGAGCTCCGTCTAAAATTGTAGTTGCTGTTTTTTTTAAATCAAAAACGCTTGCATTAGTGTAGATTTTAAAATGACAATATTTCTTGTCATAAGGGAGTTGGGTACCCGGAGGCGCACGGCGGACAGCCAGGACGAGGCCGCCGCACCGCACTAGGTTTTCAGGTTCTGAATGGCGGGCGCATCCCGTTGGTGCCAGACGCGAGCCGCGAGCGCACCCCGTCGTCAGGTCCGTAAATGCTCGGAACAGGCCGCGGGGCAACAACTCAGGGGTGGCGGGGGTACAGGCGAGGCAACGCAATCCGACCGAAAAGGCCCAGACTAGAGGTTTGAACGCGGGCGCCCGAAGACGCTCGCGCGCCACGGAGGGTTGGATCCCCCGCTCGGCTATAGACCAGACTGGTTACTAGTTTCTTCGTGGAGAAAAAGGTACCATTGGAAAAGCTGGTGTCGGTGATAACAGACGGGGCTCCCGCGATGACGGGCCGGCATGCAGGCTTCATTGCGCAATGCAAAGGTGACCCATAATTTCTACATTACCACTGCATCATTCACCAGCAGGCGCTATGTGCAAAAGTAACCAGCTTCAATCACGTGATGACTCTGACTTTCAAATGTTGAAACAGATTAACAGAAATAAAAGTTGCATGTTTAAATATGTATGTGTAGCTATACCATCATTGTTGTGGAAATCATTATTAATAATTATTGTGAGGAATAATTAACTGACATGTGATCAAACAGTCTCTTCACATATATTATTATTATTAAGGTGATCTGTGCAACTTTGTTATTCAGGAAGTTTGTATCAAATAAGTAGCCCTTCATACTACTTGGTACCCTTGAAGTAGCTCTCAGTTTAAAAAAGGTTGGTGACCCCTGTGCTAGAGTATAAACAAGGCTTAGTGCTTTTTAGTTGCATTTAATAATCTTATAAGGAATAACTATCCCATTTGCCGTGTTCAGCCCTGTATGAAAGATCTTTCAGTCCATGGCGGCAGTCCATTGTGGCCAATGATTGCCAATGTAGAGGGCGCTGATAAATAAAATGCAGGGTCGTCCGGCAAAGAAGTCGAATCAGTCAATCGTCAACTTTTTCTGCAATGCAACGCAACATCATTCGGCATGGCGCTGCATTGACCAATCACATACACGCAAGCGCACATTCCTGGTAGATTACAGAGTTACATGAACACCGTATTCTTACTGTTAACTCGCGATCGTCACAACGTAAATTAAAATAGTTGCCAACATAACCTTCCACAATTGTAAAATCACGTGTGAGCATCACGAAAAGTTGCAGTTTCTGGCATCTGATAAGCCTTTTAATGCATCAATCTGTTACTCAAAGAGCCCCTTTACACCCTGCATTAAAATATGATTTAACCTGATTACATTTACAACAGGTATTAAAATGTGTCTCCAGTGTCCATATTGAAGTTTAATAGCTCTGTCTGAAAGGGCTGAGCTAAGCCTCTGAAGGCTGCTGTTCAGGAGAGGAGGGCCTAAAAATATCCCTTTGAGGACGTCTATAGTGAGGCGAAGTCCCACCCCTTCTGCTGGACCACTGTGGGACCTTATTTTGGAAAATAAATATATACGGTAGTCAACAAATCATTTTTTTGAATTGTGCCAAAGGTCATTTTACATGTCAAGAAAGTTTTGTTGTAAGAAAGTGACAAACATCATATGTGAAATTCATGGCACAATTCAAGCGGCATCAACAAAAATATATATATATATATATATATATTGTTGTTGCAGAGGTATTCTCTCTTCATTTCCGAGCAGGGGCCTGAGCCAGAGGGTTAGGAGGTTAAAAGCTTTTACTTTGGGCAGTAGCGTGCAATGCAAGCAGGGCTAGGTGAGTGCTGAGTGCAAAGACTCAGCTCTCAGGTAGGGGCCTCTGGTGTGACAGATGGTGAACCGAATGGAACATTTGCTGTGTATTTTTTTTGTCCTAAAGAGACACTTTGCCCCATTTGTTTTGACTCAACAACATCTGACCTGCCATACTGTATCCCCCACAGGTATAATATCAAGCCTCTCTGGGCTTCTGCCTGTTTAAGAACAGGATTTCCTCTGTGTGCCAGTGAGAGGGCAGACTTTGCATTGCTTTTGCTGGGAGCTTCCTCGTATCCCTTCATAAAAATAAAAAAAGTATACTTCACATGCCTCATGAGCCTTTTTTTTTTTTCTCTCATCGCTCTATAAAAAAGTACAGTGTAATGGAAAAGAGGAAAATGAGATGATCACAACCCCTTTCTCACTGTGCACTCATCCCACCCGGCAGACACAGCCGGAGAATCGAAATGTTGCTGGAGGAACATGGGAGGATTTATTGGTTTATAACAGTAATAGTAGTAATTAGCTAGAGTAACAATTTGGACGTGATGCAAAATCACACAAGCAGGAAAAAGAGATGCACCAGTACATCTTCGAGACGGTTTTCACTAGAAAAACTACAGCATTGTATGTTTGTTGAAACACTTAAAACCAACCATGCTGACATTCCTTTTGACATTGTTTCAGCACAGAAAAATGAGCAGATGCGTACAAATTGTCTGACTTTAACACTGGAGACGGCAGACCTATTCCACTGTTAAGTTATCTCTGTAGATCTGCCAGTCAGCCCTGTCAAACAGCTCATGAAGCTGTCATGCAGTCATGTGCTACAAGGAGTTTTGGTCCGGGTAAAGTATTTGGTTACCCAAAGGTGCAGCTTGTGCTTGAAAAAATTGAAAGAACTTTGTGAAGCTGATTTATTACTCTTGTTTAGCATACTGTAAAAGCAAAATACAGGTTCAGGCTAGATGTTTTGAAATTTGATACGTTGTTTCATAACTCTTAATTGACCTGTTTTAAATAGCCAAGGTCACAAATGCATACAGACCTAAATTTGGCTAAGAAAGGTTGGGACCCTTTGCCTTAATTGTTGAGGTGGCAAACAAAAAAATACTTATTTTGGTGATGATCATGCTGGTCGGTTTAGAATGCAATGACAAAAAAAACGTATGTTGTCGCTCAGGTATGAGGATTTGTTGACATCTCAGCTCCACCAAAAAAACTTCTAATAGAGACACAGGTAGTATGAGGCCCAGACTGTTTATAAAAATAGATGTCGTGACGGCTCTACGGTTCATACAGCCACTGAACATGTCGCAAGATAGCTTCCATTTCTGAAACACAAATCACAGGTCAAATAGATGGATGGATAGATGGATGGATGGATGGATAGATGATAGATGGATAGATGGATAGAGGATAGATGGATGGATGGATAGATGGATGGATGGATAAAGATGGACAGATAGATAGATGGACAGACAGAAAGACGGATATATGGATAGATAGATAAATAGATAGATAAATAGACGGTGATACAGACAGACAGATGGATAGATAGAAAGATGGACAGACAGACAGATGGATCGGAATAGATAGATAGATCATAAATGTATTTATAGAGATAGTATGGTTAGTGCTAACGCAGCAGCTAAGTGGCTCTCACGCTAACAAGCTTTGGCCGTGCTTGGCTCGGGCATATGTGTGTCGACACTGTGACTGGTCTCCCCGATCACTACCGACTATAGGCTTCAAATGACGTCAAAAGTGCAAGATGGCAGCGCCCGTATCTGGGATATTTGGGCTTCATTTTGCACAGTGGGAGGAAGTGGAGGCGTCTTCCATCTCTAAATACAGTCTATGAGACACATGCATACATTTTTTTTGACCTTTTGTGAATTATCGCAAGCAGAAACAGCCGATGAATCCCTCTCTCTCTTTCTCTCCATCTAAGCTGGGGGAAACGAGTGAAGACACACTCCAACATCTTCAGTGAATGACTCATCACAGGCACAGCAGACAGGCTGCTCCCAGAACCTAAATGAACACAGAGAGCTAGTGGCCAGGCTGACAAATCAATTCCTCAACTTGACCTCATATGTAGGCCACTGAGAAAACTTTTGTCAATGATGCAGGAAGTGTATTATTAGTTCTGCCATCCTCCCCCCTCGGCCGGTGAAGCTCTCGCCCTAGCATCCTGATGAGCTTACCTTGAGGAAGACTCGAGGTGACAGAGCCAACATTTGGAAATGGAGTAAGGCAGGGATTTCTCATTTTTGGAAGCAAGTGTTATAGCTCAAAATGTGTGTGTAGGAAACGCTTGTACAAACCATAGACTGTTTATAAGTGGACATAGTAGTCATCGTGACGTTACCCATTGGTTTGTGGACTGCCGTTTTGAAGCCTCGAGTTCAGAGATTTCCCCGTCGCCATCTTGGATTATGGCCGTCACCATGTTGTTTTTTTGGCAAGCAATGAAGAGAAGTTACCATATTTGCACTGTGGAGGAGTGACGTAGAGATGCCGTATACGGCTCTGGTAGTGGTTTCGACCCGTGAATCACAGTAGCCCCACCCTAAAGCATACTCTGCTTCATGATCTATTTGACTCTAAATGGATCATAATTTACTAAATGAACATCTTTCTGTATTGAAGAAGACTTGGAACTAGAGCTTGAGACCATAAACTCATGTTTACAATGTTTACTGAGGTAATAAATCAAGAGAGAAGTAGAGTCATTTTCTATACAATCAGACATTTTTTACTGGAGGAGTCGCCCCTGCTGGTCAGAAAGTTTTAAGACACTTCCACATTGGCTTCGCTGGGCAGAACTGGTACAAACAGGAATGTTGGTGTTCCTAAAACAGCAATTAGCACTAAGGATTCATGCTAGTGATTAGCATATGCAATTCACAGGGTAATTGAAAGGGTAACGGCTTTCATTACTTTTAGCTAACCTTTAGCTAACTATTTGAACAGTTTACCCATTAGTTGGATATATGCTGTTTACCTTTTTCTTGTTTTCTGCCATACTTGGCTGTAAGTCAATCTTACATTAGTCATATTCTAAAGCTATGAAGAGAATGTATAGCTAATTTTAGCTACCTATTTCAACTGTTTATCCATTACTTTTTTACATTCTTGGAACATATTCTTCAAATGTTTCTGATTATTTTTAACTGTTCTAACAACTGTTGGATGTATGCTGTTTTTGTCTTCTGTTATCTTTCTACCATACTTGGCGGAGTGCCATATTTTTCTCCTCTCTGAAGTAACTTCTTTTACCCATAATGCATTGTGAGTCTGTGGTCAGTCTTACATTAGTCATATTCTGAAGCTATTAAGAGAATGTATTTACCAAAACCTAACAAATATCGACTTAAGCCCATGCAGGAGCACATTAAAGCAACCAAGATGTCCAGATAGAAGGTATTATGCTCTTGGATTTGCTGTTTGTGAAAGGGACTGAACAGATGTTGCTGTTTGGAGGCTTTCAGCAGTGAGATGGAGCCGAGCAGTAAATTGTGTAATTTAGTGTAGTGCGAAAACTAACAGCATCAAAGCACACAGCTTGTGTGTGTTTCTGTAGCTTGTCCATTTAGAGGAGACAAAAAATGCTCTTATCTTTTAATGTCACAGCACACATCATAACCCAGAGTAAGCATTACCTTTAATGTACCTGGGAGTGCAAAATGGTGGCCGGGAGCACAAACCATTAGTGACATCATTGGCTGGTGGTTCAGCTGTTTGAGAACAGAGGGGTAAAGCAGCACAGAAAGGCTGAATAAGATGAACCTCGCTGTAATGAGCAGCTGAACTGGAGCATATAGTGGATGGAAATGTCTGGCTCCATTATGCCCAGAAACCACACCTGCCTGTCTGGCCAAATGTACACTTCTCTGTACATTTGGAATAGCTGTAATCCAATAAGGAGGATTGTGTGTGTGTGTGTGTGTGTGTGTGTGTGTGTGTGCGTGTGTGTGTGTGTGTGTGTGTGAGAGAGAGTGTGTGAATACCTTGGCGCTGCTTTCAGAGTGGCGTCGGGAACACAGCTGTAGCTGAGTCATCCACAACTCTTGCTCCTGGGCGTCCAGTGCTAACAGGAACAGAAAACAGAGACACAGCATCAAAATTTGTGTTTCCTGATGTCAGTCCCTGAGCCAGGAAATAACCTGCACATCAAAGGTTATGCCAGTTATAATCAGTGCGTTTACTGTTAAAGGAGAGACTCAATAGAAACTGAAATATTAAGAGAACATTTTCAATACAAAATGATGTCATATACACAAGGGTTAATGTATAAAGGCCTTTACATACTGGGGGCATTTCTTTGTGTGATTAATTTGTGCGTCAATATATTTTTCTGAACTGTTTGCTTTTGTCATGAATGCAAATATCCGCACTTTCTCGATGAAAAAGATGTTTTAGCTCTTCTCCCGCTCTTTTTTCTAATCACCTGCCAAGTATTTTTTTGGAAGTGCCCGCTCTTTTCCAAACAGTTTCCAATGACTGCATCTCAGATGGGTCTGTGTAACACGAACCTGGCAAAGTACCCACATGGAGGGACGTGGACAGCATTTTCCTCTTTAAACCATGAGCCATGGGATATTCATTTTCTTGCGTGGCCACAGGGGAGTTTCTCTACTATAAAAGGTTACTATACATGTTAGCAACATGCAGTCGCTAACATGGACTGTGTTTTTTTCCACACATTCTTTGCCATGTCACTATTTTATATCGTTGTAAGATTTAACTCAGCTAATGAGAAATAACTTTCTGCCTCCACAACAACTCTGGCACTAACAACTGTTTGTATGAATGCCAGACCTGCCTCTCTGATAGAACAGATTGTAACAATGTGTTTGAGAGGCAAATTAAAGATCTCACAAACAAGACCAGAGAAGCCAAATGTACTCTGAACTGGTTATATCTTTAATTTTCTGCTGATGAGAAAGAAATGAAAGCTTTGTGAGGTTACACAGAGGAAGACGGATCGACATATCTAATCTGACTTGAACACAGTTCCATCAAAAAGCCACCATTGTGACAAAGAGAGTGAGGGAGAGGCAAGACAGGCGAGGAGAGCGTGAACAGGAAATTACAGCTGTCACGTATGGAGATTGGCAACTCACACAACTCTGACAGTCACACAGGAATACTGTGACCCCTGCGGTCAGCCAATCACACAGTATTCTTCATGTGTCAGACACACACACACACACACATACTGTATATAGACACACACACACCTCAATTTGGTCTGCTCTGCGTTTTACTGACACTTCTCAGACTGCGTGATTATTGCATAGAAATCAGTATTTTTAGGTCAAACACCATGATAGCCTGCAATGTGTTAGACCAGACATGTCAAACTCTACAACTCAAAAAAATATCATATGTCTATCATAACTGGCCCGCCAGTATATAGGACGCACACCACTTCATTGCATATTCCCTTGCTGTGGATGAGAGCGCTGGCGTGACTAATACTGCACAGCTGTCAATCTTCATCCATGGAGTGCAGTCAAGTTTATGCGTTACTGGGGAACTTGTGGGAATTAAATCAATGCATGGCACAACCACGGAAAAAGAGGTATTTGAAGAAGTATCTAAATGTGCGAATGAAATCAAACCGCCGTGGGACAAACTGACGGGACTGATGGAGCACCTGCGATGTGAGGTGAAAAGAACGGATTAGTGGGGAGGATGCGGGAGAAATGAGCAGGTGAGCCGACAGTGTATCACTGCATCATACACCGCCAATTTCGCTCTTTTCTTGAGGAGTAAGATTCTGAGCATGGCGATGTGGCCTATCACAAAGGGGTGCGATGGCTAAGTTGAGGGAAAGTGCTGAATAGATTTTTCTTAGTTGCATGAGGAAATCTGCAAGGTTTTGAAAAGCAAAGGGAAAGACACCACGGACCTCTGGGACGAAAAGTGGCGATGTGAGCTGGCCTTTTTGTGCAAGGAAGCATCTCACTGCGCTAAACCTCCAGCTTCAGGAGAAGAAAGCCGAAATACGTTTTCTTTTTGCACTTTAACCAATATCCTGTCCATATTGTTGAATAAATGTTGACCCTGTTTGGCCCTCGACATAGTCCAAGTTTTAAATTTTGTCCCTTTCTGTGATTGAGTTTGACACCCCTGTGTTAGTCCCTTCACTATGGTCTAACTCTAACACATTGGGCTACACAAATTATTTGCAGGAGAAAAGCAGTTTTAAAAGTCAGGAAGTAGCGTCTTAGCGGTGGGGAGTGAGGTGGCGGGACTGCGTAGTGCACTAGCTAGCTAATTCTGGTTTCATTTAATTCAATAAAGTTCTTTCTAACAGAAATACTGGTTTCTAATTCAAATTGGGATTTGTTTGCTCGTTTTCTGCTTTGAAAAGTAGCCAGGCTGCTAAGGGTAGCTATGTTGCTAACACTACTGCTATAGCTAACGCTAGCAGACAGAAAACAAACCAGGAGGTACATGGAAGCCAGGACCAGCCAGTAGCAGCCAGAAACAAACTAATTGATAATCCAAACAAAGAACAGGTGGTAAGGTGACCAAACATGACTAAAATGTCCCGGTTTTCAATAATCACTACTAAATTGTTCTGATTTTCACCACTCTTAAAGATAATAATAACATACTTGTTTTCAGTGCTTGCATAGACATTTATCGTATTTTCTCCCACTTTTTTAACCCAATATACTGTATAAAGATAAACAATGCACCATGTGTCTTAATTCAATATGCCATTGTCAAGGCTGTTGCTATAGCGCTTTCTGACAGAGTCAGTTCGTGGTTAGCTGTCATGCCGAAAAGAAAGTCTGTCTTTTCTAGACATCACTCCACTATATATTCACATAGCAAATAGTTGTTTGATACTATATTAATGCTCTGAAACCTGTATATAAAATCGTTCATATTTATGTACTATGTACCGACCTCACAGATTTTGTCTCCCTGTACACTGTGTGCACAGTTTTTGCTGACAATAACATTCAACTCTGTGCTATTGACACATAAGACAAGTGACAAGCAAACAGGGTACTGTAGCACTGCATCAACAATCACTCCAGTGCACTGTAAAAATAAAGTACAGACCTAAAGGCTCCTTCATGCTACGCTAACAGAGAATCTCTAGGAGGAAGCACTCCTGTGCGGCTGTGTGTTACACTTTGCTTTCCCATCCATCAGGGAGCTGAAACTTTTATTGAGATGCTGGGGGTCTGGTTCCCATGACCATTGACTGTTTATTTATTTCATGTTATCTATTGTACTGTTTTATCCGGGTTTAACTCTTACCTTTGTTGACGTGCTTTGTTGGGCCTCACTGTTGAGCTTTCAGTTGTTTCATTGCGTTGCTTTTGCAGCTTTGTCTGTCAAAGCACTTTGTAAACTGTTTTTAAAGGTGCTATATACATAAAGTTATTATTATTATTATTATTATGACAACAAATGAGTGGGAGGAACAGCAACATCGCTGAGTTACAGAATTCCCATCTCTGGCCATTTTCCAATCTTATGAGAAAAAATCTCTTTTTGCACAAGACATAAAGACCCATTCTCTTACCTCTGAGTTTGTAGGCGTCCCCAGTAGTGGATTGAATGGTAAACATGTAGGGATACTCGTCGCAGGAGACCACCATTGCTCCAAGAAGAGGCAGAGACCCTCTGGGAGGTCGCTGGCTTTTACTGAGTTCATTCAGATGATATTGGAGCTGGCCAACCTCTGGGTCCAGTACAAAATATCTGCAGGAGGAAAAGTGAGAGAGACATAAAGAGACCGTCAAAAGAAGAAACATGAGATGGAGAGTGGTTGGGTGAGAGCAAAGGCAAAGTGGTTGGGACAGAGAGGGCCTAGAGGACGGAGGAGCTGGTTTGGGAGAGAGGGTTGCCATGTCAGCCAGTAAATCTACAACAATCTGATAAATTCTAATGTGGCAATTAGCCAAATGTAGCCAATTAGGCTAAACAGTTTAGCTTTAAGTTGTTCATAACAATTTGCCATTGGCTTAACAAGCGCGCTATGGTTAAAACCTACCAGTAGTGGATGGGGGACACAAAACGATTAATAACATCACTTTTCTGCAAGTTTAAGCTTGTTAAACAGGTGTTTTCATGTATTATTCTTATTGACTTACTCATTAGGTTTTGCACTTACAAGTATAGTTGCCATCAACTCAAATAAATTGTATCTAAGCTGAACTTCTTCTCATTCTCTCTCAGCCCTTTGCTTGGACCTTTTCTGATAAAGTACAGATAAAAGAACAGACATAAAACAATGGTTTCAGGTGCAACCACAGAGGTGGTAATAACATCAAGTTTAACCATATGCAGATGATATTCTTCTTTGCATGCTTGAATGATCCTGTGTTTGTTGTTTTTGTGTTTGCCTTCTTATCTGTTTTGTTGTTTGATTTCAAAAACTAATAAAATGACTAAATCCAGAGATATTCACAACTCCACTCTTGCTTCTTTCTTACTCTCTGACTTGGGAAAGCTCACTACACATAAAACAAAACTTAACAATTCTCTTATTCATCTTTAAATTCAGAGACACGGTGAGGGAGTGAGACACGAACAAATCACTGTAACGTCCTCTGCAGTGTTGTGGCTTGAAACATCATAAGAGCGCATCTATTGAGAGTCATTGTTGTGCTCCGGTTGTTATATTTTATCTCTCCCCTTTGAACCTCCTGCTCACACTGTCTCTGTCTCACAAACACACACACACACACGCGCACACACACACTATCACAACCACTGTTTGTGCAGTATTGCTCAGTCAGCGTTCTCCACTGGTGATGAGAGTGAGGACAAATCTTATTCCATCTCACAATGGAGCTCATATGCAAGCTACTGAGGGCTGACTTATTTCACCCTGGAGTCTTAATATGGCCATGAAGCAGTATCTCTAGCACTGATGAGAACCTCTGACGGGGGGGGGGACTGAAGCTGGGATGGATGAAGAGAGTGAATGGGTGCTACAGGGGTAGGAAAAAAAAAAGCACAAAGGTTTACTATAAGACAAGGATACCCAGCGATGAGAAGAAAGAGGCCACTATGAATAATTTAAATCTGTTTTCACACAGCAATCTGTTTCTTCCGCTCCACTGCTGTTATGTGACTGTGTGGCGTGCAGCAGGCAGACCTCCCCTCCTTACCAAAATGTAAATGATCAGCAACCCAAGCATAAAGCAGTGTGAATCAATAAGCTCCTGTCTACTTCATTTTTGTGTGTTAGGTAGAGGGGGGGGGGACATGGCAGAGTATAATGTCATGTTAACACTGCTGACACTTGCACGGACATTGTCGCTCAATGTGCTCCAAAGAAAATGACAAAATCACTACGCACCGCACAATCACACATAGAAGCATTTTCTGATCACCCGTCTGTGCCTTCCAAAACCATTACAAATCACTGAAAGATGAATCTGTTTTATGATGTAACAGCACCACGGTTAAAGGTACAATATGTTACATTTGTCGCCTGCTGTTTGTAAACACACAGCATTTAAAGTTGGCCACTCCTCCTCGGCTCCACGAGCGAGGGGTAAAGGATGGTCGAGCGAGGTATAAGGAGTGAATGAATGCTCGTGAGAACAAAGCAGTGAATCAGAAGTAAAACGTTCCTTTCCGATTGCTTCACGGCGGTTACGTTCCAAAACGTAAAATAAAATGACCCACACCTCGGCACAACCCTGCAGGAAGGTGCCGGATGCAGCCAGGCAGGGCAGGGTTCATCCTGTCCACTGTGTGTGTGGCTTAGCACTGCTTTCATTGTGTCCAGCCAGTCAGTTATATGCCGAAAGTCAGATGTAAAGTCAAATGTAAAAAAAAATGTAGAGAGCAGTATGTTAAAGTGTCAGCCTCAGTTGCATAGCTACATAACAAATAAGTCAACTTTTGACTTAAAATAACTACAGAAGTAGCATTACTTAAGAAGTTACGAAACAAGTAAATCACCCTTTAGGTTAAAATAACAATGGAAGTGGTGTCACTTAAGTACAAAAGTAAAGCGACAAATAAGTCAACGTTTGGGTTAAAAAAAACTACGGAGGTGGTGTTACTTAAGAATCAAAGTTACATGACAAATAAGTTATTGGGTTAAAATAACAACGGAAGTGGTGTAACTGAAGTATGTGACAAATAAGTCAACGTTGACTACCTCCAATGGGAGTGAAATACAAAGATGACAGGAACTGGCTTCAGTGTAGTGAAACCACCCCAGCCGTATGTAGGTAGAGAGGTCATTCGACTGGACCAGGTGGAGGTGTAGAATGCAGATATCATGCATGTTGTCTCCTTGAGCAAACACTGGAAGGTGAAGTAGGAGCTGGACAAAAAAAGGAAGCTAAATGAACAGCTCGGCCGGTGAGTGCATTGATCCTTCTCCGACCCCGACACCTCACTCATCTGTCGGCGAGGTGTCCAGCCAACCATTAGGCCATGTAACCCTCACTAAGGCACTAAATCCATCAGTCAAGTGTGCACAGCGGAGGAGCTACTGGAAGTGCGGACGCCTGAGACAGGAGGATGAAAAACAGTTCACTTAAATAGCAGCAGCAGGCAGGGGGGGGGGGGGCTGACAGATAAAGAGAGACGCACAGAGAGATAGCGGTATTTAGGAAAAAAGGAGAAATTATATATAGGGTGAGAAAATAATTGACAGATTCAGATAAACTGGAGTAACAAAGGAAGAGAGACAGAGAAGAGACAGAATTTTAAATAAGACAGACATATTCTTCGTACGCAGAATCATGGCCACTCCCACATACATAACAAAAGAGCAAGATTAGCAGAGAGAGATGGCAGTTAAGTCAGTGATAGGTGATCTCAGTAGCTTTAGCTGAGCTGTTCTCTCTGTCTATCACGCTTGTTCAAAGTTAAAGTTTTAAGAAAAAACACAGATACAATTCAGGCTTTTGTTCATGAGAAAATATTATATTATATAGACCCTTTGGCCCAGTGCTGGAAATTAACTTTTATCTTCCACCATGGTGGAAGAATAATAGTTAGCCATGTGCTTCTGAGTGTGTGTTTTTCGGGCGCGATTGACCTTCGGAACAACAGGCATTTGTTGCCGGGATAACGAGCTGTCGAACAAATGGGCCTCGGTTGGACATTTCGGACTATTGGTGTTTTTGGAATAATGGGCTGTCGGAACAATGGCACGTCACCCATAGCAGATCTGGGCCAAAGAAAGTGGTTGTGTGGTGGTGGTGGTGTGGGGGGGGCTTAAGTACACTGGCGGGAACCCTAGTTTGGCGTGTTTTGTGCATGTTTGTAACCCCGAGGGGTTCGGTATGTCACAATTTTTTCCTATCATGGAAAGATCCTAACTGAAAAAGACTTCCAGAGACTACATTGTTAATCAAGTTTGGCAGCCATACTGAAAGCAGCTATAACTCTCTGGCCAAGTTGGTTCATTCTCCGTCAACCGCCCCGTCACAACAAATAACAACTAAATCAACTCAGACGGACTGAGAAACAACAGTAAAGCAGCAATCATTTTTCGACTTGTACAAACACGACACCGTCCGTCTGTCTCCAGGCACGGAAACGCAAAATGAAAGCTTTATAAATAACAGGGATATTTATATCATATTCAAAACACACGCGCAAACACATAACCTGCTGACGCACGCTGGTGCAAACACACACACACGCAAACTCTTGTGTGTTTCTGAGTCGAGGTCAGCAGTGTATGAATGTACCTGTGTGTGTGTGTGTGTGTGTGTGTGTGAGTGTGTGTGTGTGTGTGTGTGTGTGAGTGTGTGCGGAAGTAAGAAAGCCTATACCACACATTGTCAAAAGGTGATCATAGAGCTCATTACACGTTTGGATGCTCTTCCTATCGATCCACTATAGGACAGTGGGAGAGTGAGACAGAGTGAGCATTTAGAGGAGAGGAGAGGAGAGGTGAGGAGAGGGAGTATTGAGATGCAGGAAAGGAGCGCAGGGCTTTCCTGATGCTGGATGACTCACTCAGTGTTTCTGGGACTCCCACCCCCGCTTCTCCACTCAATGAGCCATCGAAGCAGGTTCAGACTGAATGAATGGAAGAATGTGCACAGACACACACACACACACACACACACATAGAGGAACTGGTGGAAATATGACCTGATCTTACTGACCCAGTTGACAGATTCTGTGGGATGTCACCCCGAAGTTGTTTATTATGCAATATTGGTCGAATACAGAACATTTGAATAAAGTTTTGTCGAAAACTGACGCTGCAGGTGAATTTGTCAAAGATACATGTTTGCTTTTATATGAATTCTGTAACCACAGATAGATAGGCTGAGGGGCGGGGATGAACTCAATATCTATGGGCCAAACATTTTAATCAAATAACATTTAGAAGATAAATAATAATAAAAAAGGTATCAAATCAGTTTTTAAACATTCACATAGGGAAATAATGGCCCCAGTCTGAGATCCTCAAGAGGTGATCCAAGGTGATCAAACACTTCTGTCCATCTGTTAGGAAGCATGGTCATAATTGAACTGCTCGGACTAATAGTAATATTAGAGGTTGAACATTAAAAAGACAACGCACGGTGACCCCAAAATTAATTTGAACACACTTTGTCCGTCAGTCCGGTGACCTACCTGCTCTGCCAGCCCTGGAGCGGGTTCGTGTATTTCTTCAGGATCCCCTCCAGGTGCCGCTTGCTACGGGCTGGCTTGTGAAGCGGGGGGCCCGACCCCGCTCCGCCGTCCCTAGTGGTCCCGGACCCGGCTCGCTGCTCCGTCGCAGCCAGGCTGCGCGGCTGACCGACCCGCTGCTGCTGCTGCTCCTGCTGCTTCCTGCAGGGGCTCCAAGCGGGGCTCTCCTGACGCGCTGGCCGGTTCATGCTGCTTGCTTGCTGCCCGCTTGCTGTCCTCGATTCGTTTCCACTTGAGAACGCTTTTCAGCGCAAAGACCCAAAGAGAGAGAAAGAGAGCACGAGAGATAGAAAGAGAGATATAGATTTGAAGTCAAAGATTTGATGCAGCTCTTTTTTTTTGGCAAAGTGATGCAGCGATGAGAGAGAGTGAGACACAAGTGGAGCTTTACTCCAGTCTGCTGTGACACTGTTTACAGACTGGAGGGATATTCCGACTGTTTCACTGCGGAGCGCGCCCTCTCTCTCTCTTTCTCGCTCTCTCTCCCTCCCTCTCTGACGTTATTGCGTTTTTTATTTTGGAAATCCCGGGTTGGTCCCCCCCCCCCACACACTGAACCGGCAACAAGGGAATCAGTAATGCAGTAAAACCTTAGAGAGCTTCACAGGCTGAGAGTATCCAAACTGTGGGTTGTTTTATTTTATGTTATTCCACCATTATTAAAGAAACATCACGGCGACAAATGGCTTAACGATATCAGAAAGTACATGCACGGATACTCCTTTATATTTAGAAAATATGTATTGTAGATACACTTCTCTTCTTCCTAACATGCAGGTTTGGAAAAGTGGCCGCTGGTGCTGACTTATATTATTAACCATAAAGTTAGGCTATATTTAATAATGTTACACATATGGATTCACCCCCCCCCCCTTGTATTTTTTAACTAATGAAATAATACACTGTAAGAATGCAAATATACCAATTAAAAATACATAATAATAATAATAATAATAATACTAATATACAGAGTAAGCAACGGGGAATCCAACAATCCAAAAATGTTTTTGTTTTTTTAATTACTTCTAATGCATGTAATTGTGATGAACCGGTAAAACCTGTTCCTTCCCAATAAATAAATACTGTGAAGCCTCAGGTATCAATACATTCCGTCTTCTATAAGGTCATTTTAGTAGCCCAATAAAGGTGTTTGTATTTTATTATATTTATCATGAAAAACACAATATCTGTTGCATAAGTATTATAAATCATAACCATTGTTCATTACAAATTATGTTAATCATTATCCATAATTAAGTCACCCTGTTATGTAATCTGGAGGCACCGTTTACGTCAACATACACGAAAACTACAACTTCCAACAGGCTTGTGCGCGCGCGGCGCATACTACGACGTCATCAGAAGAAGACGCACTGCTCGAGCTCGTCTCGTTCGCTCGTGAAGCGGCTAGCTGCATCTTCTGTAGCCCCACATCCATGCTCTAGCCGGCGGGGAGGAGTCACGAGAGAGCTCGGCTGAACACAGGAAAACATCACTGATGGCCTCCCCGCTCAAAGTGTGCATCGTCGGCTCCGGAAACTGGTAAGCTGTCAGGCGGGCTGGGGTGATGGGGGACATGATGCGCTGCTGCAACCTGTTAGGACCAGGTCCTTAGTGCCGCCTTCTTCATGTTCAAAAGGGATGACCGCTCGCTCGGCTTGCGGATGTGCCCAGCTCGTCAGTCTTGAGAGATTTGGCGCCTAAACTAGCTACCGTAAATGGTATTGTCTCTTCACGTGATGGAATAGAGACTTGACATTGGACAACATCAAAACACATTACCCAGCAATCATCATTGCATATCAGTTTATGACAAAAATACCAAAGAAAATACGAAATTATTCATTTTATTGATTGCTACCAACTGAAAACCGTGACAGAGACGGGTTTGCCTTTTAACGGGTTTATATAGCAAATGGCAGTGCAGGTAGTGTTTTTATTGGCTTATTTTCTGTGGTGACAATTTGAATCACTTAGGGCTCACTCTCTGCCCAACACATAGTTGTAGGGCCTGTTCTCTCTATGGGACCCGCCGCCACCCTTCAGGCCTCAGTGCAACCACACTGCCTGCACTGCCTATATTTACGCCCCTGGTTGGGACGTTACATCTGTGAATACACGGACTGTTGATGGTGTATTTCAGAGCATGACTGGACACTGACAGGGCTGGGTGTGATGATAGTAAAGATAGAGTGCTGCAGGGATGACATGTTTTTGGAGGCCAACCCAGAAGTTAGCATCGCACTGGTTCCCTCCACAAAACAGCCAATGGGATTTGTCCATTGGATTTTTGGATTGTTGCGTTTTGTTCAGCAAGATAATCCTCACAAATAAACACCACTTTTATGTTTTTTTAAGTATAAAGCTAAAGTTAGGCTATAAACGAACTATACCACAGTCACATGGGTGCGAGTATATACACAAGGCTGTAAAGGTGGACTAGTGTTTGGCGTGATGACATTTTTTAGTCTCAGTCATTCCTGCAGCACTCTATATATACCTTTAGGTGAGAGGTCAGAGGACATGGTCTCTACAAGCCAGAAGAAGTCATTGCCTTGCTCAATGGCATTTCGGTGGAGGAGGGGGGTCTTGAACCAGGGACGCTTGCAGGATAATTAACGTCAGGGGCTAGAGCCTCAGCCCTTCAGGAAGAACCCTTTTGGAACCCTTATTTCTAAGAGTGCAGGGAGTGAACACTTTCAAATGTCACCAGTCTGGTCTCACAGCGGCCCTTTGTGGTTCAGTAAGCGTTCTGTGGAGGTGAGTTGGGGGCTAAACGTATACAGCAAGTGAAAGCTAGCTGACCTCCTGACCTCTGCGTTGGTTGCAGGGGCTCGGCCATCGCCCGGATAATCGGAAACAATGCCACGTCGCTGCGTTTCGCCACCACGGTGAAGATGTGGGTGTTCGAGGAGAACGTCGACGGCAGGAAGCTCTCCGACATCATCAACACGGAGCACGAGAACGTCAAGTACCTGCCCGGATACAAACTGCCGGAGAATGTGGTGAGAGATCGAGAGAGGATTACAATCTTCTTCTAGCTGTGATGAACTTCCAGTCAGCGAGAAGCCACCAACACAGTGTCGCAACCACATTTAAGACCGTTTTGTATCCAAATCAGTGCTCGCTGAGACTATAGGAGGCCTCGCCCCGTGCTTCGTTTTGATCCGCGTGTCCCTTTTTGTTTGGCCCTCACAGGTGGCTGTCCCGAAGCTGCGGGACGCCGCGGAGGGAGCCGACCTGCTGGTGTTCGTGGTCCCCCACCAGTTCATCCGCAACCTCTGCGACGAGATGGTGGGCTGCGTCTCTGCCAAAGCTCGGGGGATCACACTCATAAAGGTACCGTCCTCTGACTCGCGCTGCTCCTCTGCTTTAAAGGAGCATTTGTAGAATATTTGTGAACTCTGATAAAACATGTTTTTGGAACTTAACCACTGCATTGGCAGGACTATTTGAATCTGTTTAAAAAAATCTAAGAAATAAAAATGTAATTCATCAAGTTGCACAATATTTCCCCTCCCGTGCCGTGTCTTTTCCTCATGCTGACACATAGCGGATAAAAAACAGGTTCACTGCTAGTTAAACATGCCAGAATTAAATCCTCCTTTTTCAGCACCATGGATAGCGCCACTCTGCCAGGCATGCCAACACACCTCTTTAAAATAGCACAAAGTGCTGTTAACATAAGCATAAATAGGCTACAGTGTACACCTACGTGTCAGTATGAGAATGCTTTGATGACAGACTTCTCTCTGACTTTTAACCACATCTCAGCCAGGAAGGAGGCCAGCCCTGGTCCATTTACTGAGCTGACACTAAAAGTCTATTTCTGACTTAATTTTGTCCCCACCGGGGATAAAAAATACTTTTGCAGAGGCAGGGACATAAAGACCAGACTAGACGAGACCCAGCTAGTTACCAAAACATATTCAAGTTCCGGTTGTATAATGATTGTGGACTCTCAGCTTTATTCACATCCTGGTTGGAGGAAGGGTACTACAAAAATGAGATTGTAGATATCTGAAACGGGAGTTTTTCCACTTTTAAGGATTTAAAGACATCATGAATTTAGTTTCCGCGAGTAAATGTAAATATTTTCAATTTACAATTTGTAGTATTGTGGAATTCTTTTATTACCATTCTGACTTGTGACAATACAATTTTGAGCAGGATAAATGCTATTATGCATATCTAATCGCCCCCGAGCGTCTGTGTCAGAGTGATATCTGCCCAATCCAAAGACGAGGATTGTAACCAATTCAATTTAGTTATACAACGGTGACTGGGTGTCAAAAAGAAAATCTACTCACGAGCAGAAGAGCAGTGATACTAGTCGTGCTCAAAGCATGGTTTTCTCCTCGCAGGCAGCAATCTCTGCTCGCGGAGTGATATAAAAGCGCTCGTTAAAGTAAAATACGCACGCGGCTGATTAATTTGCACCCGCGGAACCTCTACACACGCGATCTCATTTGTGCATAAAGCATTTTGTATTGTATGAATTGAATTGAGCCATAATTGTTATATATTTCTACATTATAAAAACTAAACTTAAAAGTCCATGTTTTGGCAAAATGCTGCCAAAGATTTGACCACACACATTAGTGTGTCATTGCAAAACTACAAAACCCTGAAAGAACTAGCATTAGAAACAAGAAGCGAATCTTCACACCGATTTTTTATTTTTTTAAAAACAACAAAAAAAAAACCCAACATTATCCTTAAATATAATTTAGCAACTGCACAAGTTTTCATCAGGATCTGTTGTATGGTTGTGTCACACCGTTGAAGTGGCTGTAAATCTGCTGAAACCTGCTATTTATAGGACATATAATTCCTCTCAAACAGAACGGTCAGCTGCGTTTCCACTGCGACCCAGATGACAGAGATGAAAGCTCACGCAATCTCTCTCAAGCTTGTTTGTGTGTGTGTGTGTGTGTGTGAGTGTGTGTGTGTGTGTGTGTGTGTGTGTGTGTACAGTGTGTGTACATGTTGGAGGAAATAAATCCCCGGCTCTCCCCAGGTAGACAGGCTGAGGACGGGGCCCACTATGGAGAGCCTGGGTTTATATCATCTCAGGCTTTAGGTGCTGTGGGACTGAGGGAGACACCGAGGCTGTATTTACCCTCAATTCCTCTCAGGAGAGAAAGTTAGGAGCAAACTAGGCCACAGCTGTTGCCTAGCTGTCAGTTTTGGGTATAACTGACCCTTCAGAATATAACCGTCATTTCAACCAAAACAAACATACCCCAAAACACTTTAAAAAAAGTTTGTTCCCTTAGCTCAGAAAATAGTAGATTATCATGTCTGGAAGTTCTCCTTTTTTTCTTTTTCAATAAAAGCAGATATGGCAACGAGCACATTCATTATAAATCTGTCTTTGAACTAAATTTGGCCAAAGAATATTCAACGAAATAGCTATAAGCCAAATACAAGTGACCGCAAGGCAACAAGGTCGTTCACATGTGGAGGTGAAAGAGTTCAGCACCGGACAGCTCCCATGCAGCCACATTTAACAACTACACAATACATCCAAACTGTAAAAACGTTTGGGTCACACGACCCCATTGAGATACTTTTACTATTTGGCTGATGTTACTATTTTTGAGTTAAGGGCTTTTATTGCCTTTATTAGGGCAGCTAGAGAAAGGCAGGAAGCGGGGAGGAAAGAGGGGATGATACGGAGCGAAAGTGGTTCCAGTCCCAACGTATTCTCTAATACTGGACAAACAGGGATATAACTAATCTGACTCCAGGAAACAAGCACCAAACACATCTGTCGACATGTTGGGCTGTAACTTTTAAATGTATGCGTTACTATGTAAATACAAAGCTTTATAATGTGTTTGATAGTTAAAAGTAGCATTTCAGTGGCTGCAGCGGTTAATAATCAGTCATTTCATATCCTCAAAGCGCCACGGTTTTATAGTTGTTAAATTCAACTTATTAACACTTCCTATCCGTGTGCGTGTGTGTGTGTGTGTGTGTGTGTGATGTGTTTGGTGTCTGTGTGAGGCAGAACCTGCATCACTGTTTTTGTGCTTCAGAGACACATTTCAGTCCAAATCGGGAGCAGCAGAGGGAGTCAGGGGAAGATGAGATGAAAGTTTGAAGGATGAGACGTGTCTACTGTTCTTCTCCTCCTCATCATCATGTTCTGCTGATGTTAAACACCTGGGGTTATTAAGTGTTATGGCCTCTTAGTTTGCAACGACAAGAGTGTGCGTGGCATTAACACAATACTCAGACGTACATGTCGTACCCTCCGCCTCCCCTCAGCTACCATGTCTCACCTTCTTCCTGCCGTCTCACGCTCCTCTCGTCCGTCTGTCTCCGTGTCTGTCAGGGTATAGATGCGGGTCCTGGGGGCCTGAAGCTCATCTCCGACATCATCCGAGAGAAGATGGGGATTGACGTCAGCGTCCTCATGGGAGCAAACATCGCCAACGAAGTGGCCGACGACAAGTTCTGTGAAACCACTATCGGTAGGAGGGACACAAGCGGCTGTGCAGTAACTCTGAAATTATAGAAAATAATAGTTAAGCAATAAAATAGCCCATATTATGAATTTGAGCCTGACCAATGCTGTGTCTGGATGTTAGTTTCCAACCTGGGCTGCAAAAAGAGGAGTATCTATTTTAGGAAGCGGCATTAAAAATAAATAGGAGGGTGAGTCATACTTTGTGTGTTTTCTATTTTTAAATGATTCAGTTTGAAGCTGAGTTTCAGACGATTTCTTTGTTCGTCAAGAAGCTGACAATATGTACTGTTCACACAGAGCTTAATGGCTGTCTTAAAAAAGAATCCATAATCCATATAATTGTTTGTGTGTGTGTGTGTGTGTGTGTGTGTGTGTGTGTGTGTGTGTGTGT